TTCCTAGATTAGTTCGTCATTGTATTTATTAATGATATCCTGGTATATTCAAAAAGCAGAGAGAAACATGCTCACCACCTGACTCAGATTTTGCAGATTCTCAAGAGAAGAAGTTGTATGTAAATTGAGTAAGTGTGAGTTCTGACTCGAGCATACTACCTTCCTAGGGCATATCATATCAACGGATGAAGTATCAGTAAACCCAAAAAAATTGAGGCAGTACTTGGCTGGGAGAAATTAACCTCAGTCAAGGAGATTTGTAGCTTTCTGGGAATGACAGGTTATTACCGCAGGTTTATGGAAGAATTTTCTAGTCTAACCACTCATTTAACTCAGCTCACAAAGAAGAATGTTAAATTTGAGTGGAATGAGTACTATGAAAGGAGCTTTTCAGAACTCAAGAAGCGGTTGACTATTGTACCTGTATTGGCCTTATTGAGTGGGACAGATGAATATATAATTTATAGTTATGCCTCCTACCTGGGGCTGGGTTATGTTCTGATATAGTATGAGAAGGTCATAGCCTATGGGTCAAGAAAGTTGAAGAGTCATGAGAAAAACTACCCCACATACGACTTAGAACTTACTACTATTATCCACGGCTTGAAGATCTAGCGCCACTACTTGTATGAGAAGACTTTTAAGATCTATACCGACCATAAGAACTTGAAGCACATATTCACTCAGAAGTATCTCAATATGTGTGTTAAAGGCGTTGGATAGAGCTCTTCAACTACTACGATTGTAATATTTTGTATCACTCGGAAAAAGACAATGTGGTAGCCGACGCACTCAGTGGAAAAAATACAGGTATGTTAGCTCACATAATGGTTTCAGAATGCAGGTTAATAGTTGCAGCATAACAAATATGACTTCAAGACTTAAAAAGAGCTACATGTTTGACTCACCTGATTGTTCAACCAGAATTGATGTGAACTGAAAAGGGATATCATAACAGAAGCTCAAAGCTAAAAGTTCGTCATGCATCCCAAAAGTACTAAAAAGTATCAAAGCATGCGATCTTGGTTTTGGTGGAGCGTGATGAAAAGAGAGGTAACCAACTTTATTTCCAAGTGTCTAGTATGTCAACAGATTAAGACAGAGCATCAATGCCAAGGTGGGCTACTTCAGCAATTACCGATCCTAGAGTAGAAGTAGGAACATATCACAATGAATTTCGTGACAGGATTACCTAGGGCATACTCAGGACATTATGCTATTTGAGTAATTGTCGACCGGCTCACCAAGTCTTCTCACTTCTTAGCTATCAAGATGACCGACTACTTGGATAAGCTAGCAAGAATATATATCCGGGAGATAATTAGGTTACATGGAGTGCCAGTGACAGTAGTATCCGACAGAGACCTCAGGTTTACTTCTCGATTTTGGTCTAGTTTTCAGCAAGTCATGGGAACGAAATTGTCCCTTAGTATCGCATTCTACCCTCAGACCGGTGGACAATCAGAGAAGACGATTTGAGCACTAGAGAATATGCTCCGAATTTGTGTTATGGACTTTGGGTGCCATTGGGATGATCGCTTACATTTAATGGAGTTCGCCTACAATAACAGCTATCAGACAAGTATGGGCATGATTCTGTACATGGCATTATATGGCTACCCATGCAGATTACCGATCTGTTGGAAAGAGGTGGATGATAGAAAATTGGTTAGCCCAGATCTTGTGGAGGAGACTACAGCTAAAATAGTTAAGATAAGAAAGAACATCCAGACAACTCAGAGTAGACAGAAGAGTTATGCAGACACCTAGAGAAGGGATATGGAATTTGAAAAAGGTGATAGAGTATTTCTTAAGGTCACACCTTTCAAGGAAATCAGTAGGTTTAGCAAGATGAGAAAATTAAATCATCGGTTCATTGACTCATTGAGATCTTAAACAGGATTGATACGATCGTCTGCAGACTGACACTACCTCCAGAGCTATTTAAGGTTCATAATGTATTTTATGTGTCCATGCTATACAAGTACAATTCGGACCCTTCACATATTTTGTCCCACGAGTCTCATTCACTACAGGAGGATCTATCCTATAAGGAGGTACCAGTGGGCATTGTAGACCGAAAAAGTAGAGTACTTCGCAACAGAGAAATTCTTTTCGTCAAGGTTCTATGACAGAATCACACACATAAAGATGTCACATGAGAGTTAGAATTGGACTTCAGGATCCAGTATCCCCAACTGTTTGACTAAGTGAGAGAGTGACAAATTTGACGGACCGAATTTCTTCTTAAGGAGGAAAGAATTTTAATACACGGACACAAATTTTACCTGGGATCAATTTTGGTATTTTAACAAATAAATAAAGAATTAATTATAATTTAATTTTATAAATTACTGAAAAAAATAGGTAGGGATATAATTGAAAGCAATTTTAGGAAAAAATGGTAAACATTTGAGTTCAGGGGTATTTTTGAAAAAAAAAAATAGAAACAGTGGATCAAAGTACAAACAAAAAACATTTGGCCACGTAGGACCACCTAGTCAGCAGCCCCGATGAATCGGAACACGCCGCGTGACAAGGCACGTTGACGTCGGTGCCATGCAAGAAGCCACGCGGATGAACCGTGTGCCCCGCGATTGGACGGCATAGGATCGATCCCGCACACATGGACGGCTTGGGTTCATTTCTCTTTTAGGCGCGATCAGACGGTCGAGATCAAATCGCGATTGATGGTCTAAATTCGTTTATTCCTTAGGCGCGATCAGAAGAAAGAGATCAATCGCGATGAACGGTTGAGATTGACGGGGGGTGGGTATAAATACTTCGCGTCGCATAGGAGCCCAAACCCTAACCGCCAGCGTTTGTCAGAGAAGAAGAATCAGGCGCCAAAGAAGGAGGCCAACCACCTATTGCGTCGCACTGAAGCTGCCTTCAACTACTAGAAAAGATAAAAATCTCTCATACCCGCTCGGAATTCAATTCTGAGTATCTTTTTGATCAAATCGAAGTAAGAGGGACGATGGGTGAGCTTGAAATAGCGGACAAAGGTCGGCAGAGCCGTCGCGGTCAAAATCCAAAAATTCTTCCAATGAGCCCATTCCCAGTTTCCATTTTATGCATTTTTTCTATCATTGTGCTTACTGTCCTTTTCTGTATAGGTTAGCCGAAGAAGGAACCACAGCTGCGAAGAAAGATTGGCAGAGCCGCCGCACGTGATGACCCCCATCGGTAGGTTTGATGTTTTTGGTAATTTTTCGGCTAATCGAGACCCCTAACGTATTTTTCTGTAGGGGTACGTGTAAAACCGTACAAAACTGGCTAGAACCAGCCAGATCGAGGCAAATTGCCGCCTTGGGCGGCGAAGCCGGTACTGTGTCATAACCCCAAAATCAGCCATAAAGAGTTTTGGGCACCAATTTTGAATTTTTTGGGTTTTTTTAGGTATGTGATGAGTGTTTTGGATTCTGCAGGAAAAATTCAAAAAATTCGATATCCATTAGGAGGCGTAGTAGACAGTACGATGTCTTGAAACACGGATTCGAGTAAGGATCCCTCACCCTATTCTCCGTTATAGTAAATTGAGGTTTGACGTTGCATAATTTCATATTTTTATGAAAAGTTAGAGAACCCTAAAAATAATTATAGGTCACTAATGGAGGCGGAACTGATTAATTTACGATATTCTTGATTTTTTATTTATTTTCTTGTACTGCTCTATTTGTTTGTTATTATATGGTGCATGCTCTAAATTTATATTTCCTATAGTCTTATCGATTTATCTAGTTTATTCGACTATATACTATCAACATAAATGTAATTTAATTGATTTGTAAATATAATATGAGATAGTAGTTTGCATGGTTAGTTGTTTTGTTGATGGAAATCTCTATGTGAAAGACTTACTGGATATTCAGAAAAATGGCAGACGGATCCGGTATATAGGGAACCCTACCGTGAACATCACCTCAATCGGACGGAGTGGGAAGTCTCATACCAGAAAGGTTTGGGAGATATGGTTCACTCTCATACTAGATGAGGTATCGAGACGATGAAATATTTAACGCTCATTACTGAACGGGGTATAGGGACGATCGGTTAATTGTTAAAATTAAATATTAGGTTCACGAGTAGGGGTACATAGAGGTACTAGTAAGCAAATAAGAAAGAAAAATTATTGTCACTTGTTCTCTTTATGTGTGAAAATGAAAAATAGTATGCATATGGGTCTTCATAAGTTGCTTTTTAAAAAAACTCATTATGCAAATACAGAATAAACGGTTTTCTTTATATTAAATGAATTTATATCAAATCAAGGTCTCTATTAGTTATTTTTTTTTATTTTTACCAATTTTTAGTTTTTCGTATCTGTGATTAGTGTGATATTCTTACTAAACTAGTGTAACTCACCATTTCATTAAGCATTTCAAATCACGAAAATCAAGATTCAAATCCCAATCAGTAAGAAAATTATGAGTAGTTCACCACTCGAACTCCCTTCAAATACTAGTAAAAGTCGTTCTATGATATTTATTTATTTGTTTTTCTTTAATTACCATTTCACTTTTAGAATGAACACTTTCATAATTTTATTGCACTATGCAAACAATATAAACTCTAAACTTTATTATTCGCTTTCGCATTTAATTTATAAATTCATCTCTATTTAAATTCTGGACTTTTATATTTACTCTGTGTTTCCTTCAGTAAAATAGATATATATATATATAATGTATATATAGAATCTTATCATTTCATGATTTCAAAAAGTTTCCATTTTATAACATATACATCTGGATGTATACAAAGACAATGAGGATATTATCTGGAATGAAGAAATTACCTAGAGGAAATCAGAAGCCGTAGATATGTATAATACGAACAAAGCCACCGTGACCCTACCCCTCATGGATTTTGCAATGCCTTAGAAAGGAGTTAGTGCTCATTCTTCCCTTTCAAGGAAAAAAAGCGGCTGATCCCATGAGAAATTTTCTCTTCCTCCAGAGCAGATGAAGAGGAAGATGAACTTGACTTTGTCAGTGTGTGATTAGGGCGTGTTGAGCTCACTGGAGATCTAAATGAATGAATTGCCTCAAAATCAGATGGGCTTGATGTCGAATTGCAATACTGCACTGACTCCTCACTCACCCATTGCATATCAGTAGAAGCAACACTGTCCATCTCACCTGTATCAAACTCATTCGAAAAATGGATTTCTTGAGACTTTGATGAGCATTTATAATTTGGTTTACCATCTCTTGAATTTCCATCCATCTGAAGCTTCACACTATATTGAGACCTGCCAATATCTGTGTGAGGGTGCAGAGCTTGCAATTGCTTGCCAAGAAGGTATATAGTCTCTTGACAGGCTGCAAGCTTCTCTGCCGCATCTGCTCTCTCTCTTTCCTGCCAAAGAGAAGGGTAGCAGATTTTTTACTCTTGCTTCCAAAGTTAAATGGGAATCATAAGTTTGAAGCACGATAAAGAACAATGTTAACGTTCAAGTCTGATGCCACAACAAAGCAGTTCGTAAAAGGGAATAATTACACCAAATAACAAAATCAAAGACAAATAAGCAAGAATTGTGGGCCTGATAAGTGAATGAGCTGCAAAGAAATATTGCATATCTGATAGAATCTCCCTTCCATATTTATTCTGTAACAAAGTATTTTGCAGTTTTTTGTCATTTGAACTTGTGAGTAGAACATGCACCTATACAGAACTTGTAGGAGCAGTCTGGCAAGAAGTTTTAGATGGGCAACCACAGAGGCACACAGACTACACCTTGTGGAGAAACAGAGTTAATTGCAATCCAGTGTCATGTTGGAACACTCGTTTTTTTATGCAGAATTAATATCACGTACCTGTTTGGCCTTGAGGTCAGAATGGGCTTCAGACAGAGAAGAACACTTTGTGGAGGTCTTGTTCCTTAACAAAACAGAAAAATTGAAGGAAAAGTTAGTAAAATCCAGCATATGTTAAGTCATGCCAGTTAGCAACTTAATTTGCCAACCAAGAAACCAGTACTGCTCAAAGTGCTAAATTAACAAAAGGATATATTAAAAAGTTAAAACTGATTCATGGCTAAGTTGAATCTCCATTTAAAGTCTTGCTTTAAAGTTTTGGAAAAGATTTTTTGGCTGAGTAAATAAATCCCAAACACCCAAAGTCCTTGAGATAATTTGAATAACCATTTCTTAAAACTGCTCAGCACTAACCTTTGAATTTTGTCTTGAAGGTCAGCACATCTGGCAAGAGCATGCTGATGGCTGTGCTTCTCTTCTGATAGCTCAATCTCCAATTTCTGTTTCTTTTCTCGCAAAAGGTTTACCTCAGCTTCTAACTCCTGGGTACAGACTTCAAGTGACTTGTAAGACTCTGTCATGCATTTTAGTTTTGTTTCTGCCAAACTATAGAGTTTTTGAGAGGAAGCCAATCGTACTTTTAATTCTGTCAGGAGCTGTTCTTTTTCCTGTACCTGCAACTTTGTGTTGTCAAGCTTTTGAGTGCATATGGCCAGAGCCATTCCCATATTATCTTTCTCTAACTTCAGCAGCTCCAACTTTTCCATGAAATTGCACGATGTCAAGTTCGAGATAGAGCCAGGGCCTATCTTTCCATCTTGAGCAACCTCTGCATCAGAACAGGACTGGAAATCCTGGTGATATTCATTACTGTATGTCTTCTTAGATGAGTCATTCTGAACAACCTTATTTTCAAGTAAAGTAACTTTGTCGATATACTCACCACCAGTAACGTCTCTACTTCCGTTATTAAAACCGAGAACCAAAAAATTCATATCAGTCACTTTGTATAGAACATGAGAAAGTTTCAGAACAAAATCAACCAAACCCCTTTCGCTGCAGGTGAATTTATGAACAGAAGTAGAGAAATCATCTATTTCACTCAATCCACTCCCACTGGAAGTATCCTGAAGAAGAATTGCTTCCCTGACAAGTGATAAAACAAATTTATGAATACGGGAAATAGCAGATGCCAAATTTGTCGTCAAAATGTTGTTCATGTTGGTACCAGGTTCCCTGTCTTGACTAACTGATATCTGGTTCTCTCTGGTTTGACCAGAATAGTGAATGCAAGGCTGTTCACTGGAAAAGACAATATCTTTGTGAGGTACCTCAGGGATAGAAGAGAGAGACTGCTGAGATGAACTTTGTATTTCCTGGATTGCACATTTAATATCCTCAACAATTTTCTCAATATCAGAGTCCAGAATTTGAGACTCAAATATCTTATAAATTCTTGATCGGAGCTTGAACAAGGGCAGATACTCTGCACCAGTTTCAACCTCTTTCTCTGAGGATTCTACATTAGAAAGATCCTGTTCTTCATTTGAATCAACTCCAGGTTGCTGTTCAGTGACAAGATCACCACTGACTGAAACTTCAAATTCTGCATGCAAATTTCTGGAGTTACTTGGATTAGTTGAAATAGAGATGGATCCATCAACATCATTAGCTGCAAGTCTCTCCATTTCCAGAAAGTCATCTAGTAATCCCAAGTGATTTTTACTCTTAGGGCTTACTAAATTTCTCACTGATATTTTCTATTTCTTGTTGACAGAAATCAGAGGTCACTGGTGCACAAGATTCAGAAGAACTTCCTCCTTCATTCCCATCTGCAGACATAGAAGCCATAATGGGGAGAATTACTTATATATCTCCTTTGATGATTCTTCAACAGGATTGCCAAGATCTGCATTTTGGCAACTTCCCTTCTGATTGAGGGTCTGTGCTTTCAAACTTTTAAGCTCACCAGCCATCTTGGCACAAACGTCTCTGGAAGCTTGCAGTTCACTGTTTCGATTTGCTAAAGCCTCTCGAAGCATTTTTGTCTCTCCCTCCATTGTCAATACACGTGTGGTAAGACATTCATTCTCTTTTTGGCAGTGTTGCAAGGTATCAGAAGAAAGTTCTGGTTTTAGAGATGACTCAGGATTATGATTTTTAACCAGAGTTCTCTGCTTTCGGGGTTCACTGACTTCATGGTCCAAATGCTCAACCTCTAGCCTCATTTGAGCCAATGCAGCAGGCCCAGGCAACTTCTTCCTAACGAGGCCACGTAGTCTTTGGCACTCTGCTTCTAGCTTTGCAATCTTTTTGACTCCCTCGAGATGCTGCTTGTTTGCAATTTCTGCAGACCTTACACTCATGTTCTTTTCCTCATTACGGATATCAAGCTCCTTAGACGCTACATGCAAATCATACTTAAGTGCATTTATCTCCTTTTCCTTTGACAGGATATTTCCCTTCAGATATTCTATTTCAGCTTCAGCTTGAGATTTCTTTTCATTAATCTCCAGTATCAAATTAGATCGCTCTTGTAATGACCTTGAAAGTGCTGCATTTTCAGCAGCTGCCCGCAGAAGCCTTTGATCCAAATCTGCTATTTGTGCTTGAAGCTCCAGCTTAATTTTGTCCCATTGGCTGGTTTTAGATAGAACAACCTCATGCAATTGATGTTCACTTTCATCCTTCACATTCCTTATTTGCCTCATACACTCTTTGAGAGCACCATCCAAATGGGATGTTCTATCCTCTGCAGTGAGCTTCAATAGAGTGACAGATTCAAGTTGACGCTTCAATGCAAGATTTTCCGATTCAACCTTTTCCCATCCTAAAGAATGCAGGGCCATTATAAGAATCAATGTGCTCAAAGTGAAAGAATCAATCTTTTACCAGGACAAATGAAGAAAAGAAAAATTCAAATGCACTGCTTTATGGATAAAATAAAGGCAAAAGAACAAGCATTGACTGTCACTGGAATTCAGAAGTCAGACTATTTTATTCCTAGGTACTTAAGCAAGAAAACTAATGTCCAGGCAGTAGAATGATGGTATACATTCGATTTTTATCCTTTTCATCTTTAGTTTTCTACATAAGGACTACAATTGACAAGAATTTAGATCAGACCTGAAACAGCCTCTTCAGCCACTTTTGCATGCTGTATAACCAGACTGTCTTTGGCACTAATTTCAGAATGAGCAGCAGAGAGCTGTTCCTTCAAATTCTTCACTTCACTCTCAAATAATTTGATTTGATCTGTCAATGTATTCACTTGACCTCCCAACCCATTCAGATGTCTATATACATCCATAGGTATTTGAACATAGTTTACCTTTTTATAGTTTTCCTGTAAAAAGAAAAGTAATGAGGGAAGAAAGAATTAGTTATCTCAAATAGAAAAAGCCAAAAGAGAAAGATCTGAAAGGTAAACCTTGATGGATCAAATACTGAAGTCTCCAAACCATCGATCCCCACCAAAAAAAAAAAAAGAAATAATACATAGATACTGGATGAATATGATAAATGAATAGAAACATATTGCTCATCTATTGCTTATATATTTCAATGAAATGGCCATCAAATTGTCTAGTCTTGGCAATTCTAGGAACAAACCTGATCTCCTAGAGATGCTAATGAAGACAAAGAAGCGCCAGCAGAATCTGATACATTCACCAGCTTTTCACCTATGGTCTTATCAGATGATTTTTTCTTCCAAGGCCAATTACGGCGGTCCATCTTGTTCTTACAGTATATATCCTGCAATCATTTTTTAGGAAAGTAGAGTGATTTTAATGAAAAATAATAATATAGTACATAAAATTAGCATCTGACCAAGCTCTGATACTTGAGTTGGTAAAAGATAAAAACAGACATATTTCGGATTGAATGATTAAGCTTCAATTCTTCTAATATTACTCACACCAATCTTACACCAAATACCTCAGTTAACCCTCTGAGAGATCACATTTGCCTATAACCTACTACTAAGCTTTTCCTGTTTACTTGAAACATAATCAGCGCACAAGTATAAGATGTTGCACAAGCAAACAGCTCCCTCATTCTACAGAAAAAGTCCAAAACTTCAAATAAAATTTGCAAAACTCGAGCACATGTTAGCATCTCGCACGAGACAAGTATGCAGTAACATGCATTATGGATTTTGTTTTTCAGGGAACTAAAACACGCACCAAATTAACTTAAAAGAATCAGCATATCTCCTTGGCATTTATCAGAACAAAGAAAGAGATAAACATCTGCCATTAGTTTGAGACAAATTTTAGCTCGTAACTGATAAAAAAATTGAAAGAGAACTGAAAAAAAAAATGTCCTTCTTGATCCTTTTCCAGTTAATGGCCAAAATCATCATTTGTCAACGCGTCAAACAAGAGGGGAAAAGAGAATCCTAACCCAGCTAATGTCCAAAAACTTCATAATTGTTATAAAAGGAACATCTCTGAACGACAAGTCAAAGGACATATAAAACTAGACAGACTACAGTAAAATTAACAAAGGCCTTTCTTGATGCTAACTAGTAGCTATAGGTAATCCTCTGCCTCAATAATAAACATCACAGGGGGAAAGCGATAACCACATTAACACACAAATATAGAACGGAAGAAGAAGAACCAGTCTAAACACCATAATCAAAATAATAAACAGTCATGTACGCATATATATATACACACACACACACGTGTGTGATGAGAATTTGGAGTGAAACATATCGTTCAATCGAAATTTACACCCCAATAACGTTTCCACAGAACTCCTCTTTGTCCCTCAGAGCGTGAAACAGAGGAACTATTTGAAACGCCGATACATAGACACACAAAAGGAACTCACCTGAAGAAATGACAGACTATCACTATAACAGAGTAGATCTGCAAGAGATTACCAAGAACAAGGACTGTGATCGAGAACTAGAACTGAAAATTTATTCGTGTTCTTCTTCAGTTGGTTTTCCGAGTGTGAAATAGACAAAAAAGAAGAGGGAGCCAAGAGGAGCGGGTAGTAGAAGAGAGTGAGGAAGCCAGAGACATGCGCGTAGGTGTAGTCTGTCACTTTTTAAACGCTCCCCCTATAAAAGAAAAGCTGAGTCACCATCATCAGCGTCTAATTATTATTTTTGAAATCCTGAAAATTGTTTTCTACTATCTTAATTACGCATTTGCCCTTTTAAGCTGTGGTTGTATACAGTGGGGTGCACGAAAAGACCTGTACGCTTCCCCACGTGATGCGTCGTTTTCTGGCTCGCGACCGGCGAACCTGATCGTCATGACAGATGGACTGATTTGATGAGATATCATTTTATCGAACATGGAAGCATTCAAGGAGCTCCCTTTCCTGGACTTGTTTTGATTGATTTGGGCAAAACAACGAACAAGTTGTACGACATTGCGCTTCGTAGAACTTCATGGACTGCAGTTGCACCATATTAACCTAACCTAATTAATAATTTTTTATTACTTTTATTTTATTCAAATTTATTAATTTAACTAATTACTATTTAGTTCAATAGTTAACGTATCTACTCTATTATACAAAATAATAAATTCAAATTGATCCATCCAAGTTGATAAATTTAAGTCAATTTGTACTACTCAAATACACGTTTATTTAAAAATTATTTATCTTATATTATTATAAAATTATTAGTTTCATACGATAATAATCTTTTTTTTTTTTTTGAGATGATAAAGAAATATTTTATATATATATATTATAAATTTATATTACTTTTTTTTTGTATTTAATATAAACGAATAAAATTTTTATTTTACTTGATAATCACACTTTTATTAGAATCTATGTATTATAACAAATGCTTAATGGCGTTACCTAAAGTAATAGCTTTAGTTGAGTTTTTATTTTATCTAAATGTTTATTGTAATTTACAACGACTATGTTTTCATTGCATAAAAAGCTCGTATATTTTTCTGAGGTCCAACCCATGCTTGAATTTAGGATTCGCATATATTGCTCGCTCGTAATCTCTTATTGCATGGAGTTATAAAAGAGAATAATACATGCATATATATACACGACTTATTATTCAATTTATTATTTTGGGAATCCAAGTATATTTGTCAAACTATCTTAATTTGGGACTTAAGAAAATAGTTGCTTTATTTTATTTTTTTTATAAAAAAAACTATAATAGAAAAAAGAAGAAAGAAAGGATAACCGGCCCTGATTTATTAGTCCAAGCCCCGTCCAAGATACTAGCCAGCCCACTAGTTTTCTTTCAAAAGAAACCCTAAGCCTAAACCATCTCATTATCCTCATATAAAGTCTCCTCCTTTCATCAATGGCCAAACCCTAAACCTTCTTTCTCTCATTTCTCAGTTTCACGCCCGTCCAAATGGGGCGAGTTATTCGTGCTCAGAGGAAGGGTGCCGGCTCCGTTTTCAAGTCCCACACGCACCACCGGAAGGGACCTGCCCGCTTCCGTAGTCTGGACTTCGGCGAGCGCAATGGTTACTTAAAAGGTGTGGTGACGGAGATCCTGCACGATCCTGGCCGTGGTGCCCCTCTTGCTCGCATCACTTTTCGCCATCCTTTCCGCTACAAGAAGCAGAAGGAGCTTTTCATCGCCGCTGAAGGTATGTATACTGGCCAGTTTGTGTACTGCGGTAAGAAGGCTAACTTGATGGTCGGAAACGTTCTTCCTCTACGATCAATCCCTGAAGGTGCCGTTGTCTGCAACGTCGAGCACCACGTCGGTGATCGTGGCGTTCTCGCTAGGGCTTCTGGTGATTACGCTATTGTCATCAGTCACAACCCCGATAACGACACTACCAGGTTAAATTTTGCTTTTTATCGTAATTTTTCATTCTTCACATAGTTCATTTTGTTAATTCGTGAATTAGTTTATAGGTTGATGGTCTGTTGGATATCTGTTTAACTTTGTTTACTTAGATATGGCTGTTACCATCTGATTTGATCAGCTTTGCTTAGTTTTGATGTTTCTAGGGTTAGCGTAATCTATTAGTTGCTGATGAATAAGACTAGATGTTTAATCTAGAAGTATATTCTTTACCTCCTGTTATTTATTGTTAGTATCTGGTTAATCTGCAACTAGTTTTGCTTGTTGCTATTATAATTCTCTATCATTGTGAAAGTATTTGATTGGTGGTTTGAAGGGAGTCTGATTGGTAATTTATTGAAAATCTGATGGAGATGTTGTAAAACCTGACGATTGATACTTTAGCTGCTAATGTAATTGCGAATAAGAATGGGCTTTTGTTAAACATGCAAGTTTTGCGTGAACTGATAACTCTCTTGGCACCTCACCGTGCTTTGATTTTGGGGTTTCAAAACCTGTTATGAGGACTCCTTAGAGCCAATAAAAAAAGCAACTTTTGGGTTAATTCATCCCAATATATTGTTCTGTTTTTTGGCAGGATCAAGCTCCCATCTGGTTCTAAGAAGATTGTTCCAAGTGGGTGCCGAGCCATGATTGGTCAGGTTGCTGGTGGAGGAAGGACTGAGAAGCCTCTTCTCAAGGCTGGAAATGCTTATCACAAGTTCAAGGTGAAGAGGAACTGCTGGCCTAAGGTCCGTGGTGTAGCTATGAACCCAGTTGAGCATCCTCACGGAGGAGGTAACCACCAGCATATTGGTCATGCCAGTACCGTTAGACGTGATGCTCCTCCTGGCCAGAAGGTTGGTCTTATTGCTGCAAGGAGAACAGGTCGTCTCAGAGGACAAGCTGCAGCTACTGCCGCAAAGTCGGACAAGGCTTAGAGAGTGGTATTCCTTGGCTGCTTGCATTTTTTGGTTTACGTTGGTTAGAGATCTTTATAAGACAATCTGCTAAGCTGTAGAAGTTTTGTTGAATTGCGAAGCTACACTGAAATTGAACTATTTTATGAGTTGATTTGAAATATAGCTACATGTTTTGTTGGGATATTTATTTGCTTATCTTTTTCTCCTGATCTGTTTTGCTTGTCTTTCGTTTTCTACTTCATATGCTTCTAGGATGGTATGTGGATGTGTAGTATTCTTCTATAGATGAGTTGCGGTAGGTAGTAGACCAGCAGGTTGGAAGATCGAACTGTGTATTTGGTGCTTGATGATGGTGGCTTCCATTATTTCGACCTTTTCTTTTGGTTTCAGGTTGATGATAACAGTTGGTTCTTATTCTGTTTTATAACTGAGTTTCTGGATGAGTTTCAGCTGGAATATACACTCTAAGGCATTTTTGTTGGTTGAGTACCTTGTAAATCATTGATCCTTAAAGAACCAACTTCAAAAGCGCCATACATGCCAGGAAACCATTACAAGCTATTTAAAAGGTTTATTGATCAACATAATTCTCTAAACTGTGAATTTATAGATGCATTGTCAATATCTAAGCTTTCGGTGATAATGCAAATAATGCAGTCAAATTCCTTTCATGAAATATTCTACTGTTAAATTTATAATTTTACCCTATAAATAATATTCTTTTCTAAAAAATTAATCAACTCTACTAAATTTTTTTTTTATGTACCACCAAAATGTAAATCCGAGTTTATATGTTTGCGGAGGTAAAATAAGAAAAAAATCAGATACTCAATATTCAACCCATATATTGGAAATACAATAGATATAAAGTCTCCCAAGTCCTAACCCATATATTCGTGAGCCGGAGCCATGGGCTTGTACATGCCCCCAGAGGCCACAGGTTACCACAGCGCGGTTGCACGAAGCCAAAAATAAGGACACACGTACTCGATTAAAACTTCGTTAGCAGTCCCAAATGTTAGAATACGGTAAGAAATCCTCTGCTTGTTAGCATAATTGGCCGACCCGAAAAGTCTCGGTTCCATCGCTCTGTCTTAGACAGACCTGTGCAATCAATGGATTTCTCGGAGAGGAATGCTTCTCTCCTGATTGTTTTCCTGCTCACCATCTTAGTGCCGGAAAAGGCGCTGTGCATTCGGTTCCCGGATCGGATCTCGAGCGCCGTCGCCGAACCGTCAGATCAACCCCTTAAAACGGCGGTTTTCGCTCTTGGTAGCTTCTGGAGATCCGAAGCTGTATTCGGTTGCGTTCATGGAGTTGTACGGACCACCGTCGGGTATGCTGGTGGATCCAAATCCAATCCGGAGTACAGAAGCTTAGGCGAACATGCGGAGTCCGTACAGGTCCGATATTTTTCTCCCTCGTTTCCTCTGATACCGGATTAATCTTTATTTGTGTTGATATTTGGTTGATTGATTAATTGATTCGAGCAACTTTTGAATTACATTAGCCGGCGATTCAATGTACTTCGGGTTTAGTCTTTGATATTTAAATGCGTAGAGTAGGGAATGCTTGATGAAAATCTATGGAAGATGAATTCTTGTACAATCGAAGATGAATTCTTCTTGCTTCTGGATTAAGTACTTTCTTACTTAAACTTAATCTGCATATGTTAGCCCTGGTGAAACTGCTGCTCTTGCTGGAAGTTCAATCACTTGAGAATACTTAGATTAGTCTTGTCAATGGTGACAGTGACAAATGGAAGGATATTTTAGGCTTTATCAGGACAGGTAAGTGTTGATGCCTGCCCTTTTTCACGGTTGCTTGTTCTGAAATGCATAGGATGAGATATTGTAGAAATGTAGAGAGATGCTGATCTTCTTTAAGGTCGGCTCTGGCAAGTACACTTCATTGAAACTGGCACCTTGTTTAAGGTGGGCTCTGGCAAATCCTATTATGTTTCTTTAGTTAATGACAAAAAATCCTTCATTTGTAAAATTGGATTTTAGTTTTTAGTTTGAATCAATTTCCTTTCTAGCTTAAATTTTTGTAGAATGGATTTCTAATTGATTTTGGAGATTGATTTCTAGTTCATGCCTGGTAACTGAAAATTAGAATTTTGTTTACAAGCAAAAGAAGAATTGGAAATCCTCTCCAATAATTTAAGGGAGTGGAATTAAATATTAGAATTGCTGTGCACACTGTTAACAAGAATAGAATAGAAGCTGAGCCAAACATGCCTCTGGAGGACTATATAGTTAGAGGGTGATTGACTTCTGGATGATGCTAAGGCATGTTTTCGGATGCCTTTAAATTCATTAACTTGGCAAGCACCTGCCAGAGATCAATACAATAATTCATTGGCACTGTCTCCCACAAGTTTTTGTCATGATGACCCTGATTTGGCAAATATATTTTTTTCAACTCAACATTGCATAGAAAGTAGAAAGTGTTATTTCCCTGAAGCCAGTTCTACTTAAGCATGAAATGGTGCTGATAGGCAGAATCTTTCCATTAGATTACAATAATTTTCCCAACTTTTTGGCCTCTTTGGTTTTTGCTTGACTTGGAATTGGATTTCATAGTTTACTTAAGCTCTATCTGAGCTTGTCTAAATTTGAATGCAATGTGGATTACGTGCAGGTTGAATACGATCCAAGGCAAATCAGTTTCAGGCAACTTTTAGAGGTTTTCTGGTCAGGTCATGATTCAAGACAGGTGTTTGGTCAAGGTCCTGATGTTGGTAGTCAGTATAGGTAAAAGGAATCGTAGGTCACTTCTTTAGTACTGTAATCCATCCTGAATTTCATACTAGAGAGCCGTTGTGTATCGACAGGTCCATTATTTTCACTAATGGGTCCGAAGAGTCCAGATTGGCTGCTACCAGCAAAGAAAGAGAGCAACTTAAATCAAAGAGCAGCGTTGTGACTACTCAAATTCAACAACTTGGAGCATTTTACCGTGCAGAACCTGAACATCAGGTTTCCTTTTATGTTCCGTGGTTTACTTTATGTTCCCCTTCCCATATACTATCTACCTAATCTATATCAATTCCACCGGATAAAAATTTTATAGATATTATAGCTGTAATTTTTGTTACAGATAATCAATTGCATTCTGTGGAAGAAATCACATTCTCTGAAAGAGTAACTTGCCGTGCTACTGAATTTGCAGAAATTTGAACTCAAGAGGAGTCCATTCCACCTACAGCTGATTGGAAACTTGCCAGAAGAGGAACTCGAGAGATCAACTCTTGCAGCAAAACTGAATGGCTATGCAGCAGAGCTCTGCCCACCTAGGATTCAGAAGCAAATTGATGCAAAAATCAAGGACATTATTAGAAAAGGTTGGCCAATCTTGAGAGAGATATAGCTGACATCTGGCATGGAAACTTCACATTCACGCACTCGGGTGAATTCTTTTGTGGGAGTATTAGTGTATCTCGAACTGCTTAGATGGATAAAATTACACTGTTAAAGTCTTTGGGACATCTCTTTAGTAATAATACTTTGTCCATATATGGCATAGGCATTTACAATTTTGTGCATTTCCCAAAACTTTAACCTTAGTATTAATTGATTTTTCCCTTTTTGTTGGGAATTTTTGTGCACGAAATTACAATTAAATGTGTGTTTTAGAAAATTGATCCATCACTCGGTAATAGCTAATCTAAATGCTGCAAATTGGTTGTAAACAAGGTTGTCATTTGCATTTTATGAGAATGAATGATTTATTAATCCATTCCACTTTAGTAATTATACAAAAAAAAAAATTTAAAAAGAGTTATTTTAAAAAGTTTTATTATATTAGGTCAGAATTTATACGAATCTATTAAGTTCAACAAAATAATACGATTTTAAAATTATAAACATATCAATAATTTTAAACAATTATAATATTGTGTACTTAATAATTATTAGTAAATAAATATTATTAAAATAAGAGAATTTATATTATTAATAAAATATTTATCACAGAAATCTATGCATTTTCAGTTTAATAAGATTTGAAATATATTGTTTTTATTTTATCTGAAATTTTAATTGTAATTTTATTTCTATTATTATCAAAATAAATGTTGATTATTTACAAATTCTATTTAAATTTTAAATTTGTATTAAACGTTTGTCTAAAACAAATCCTAGTAATAGCCAATTATAGAAAAAAATATATATATCCTTATATGCTTCGGGTAAATGATGTCCAATCACAGCGCGCAACCACGCTATCATATAGAAAAAATCTTCTATACCACGTGTCACCTAATGATTGGCTAGCTTCAAGGTAATAAAATGGGAAGCGAGCGCGTACACATAAATGGTTCATTGACTTTGACTCCCTCTTGTGCGGCGAGGGCGAGAGATAATCGGCGTCTATAAAGCCGACTTGTGGGGAGTGATTTACAGAAGAGAGAGAGCTACTCAAGCCAAGCGCAGAGAAAAACCCTCAACTAACTGTGTCCGTGAACGCTGCGAAGATAGATTCGGATCGAAAGAGGAAGAAAGATTCGATCTCGTCGGCAGATCGAACGGCGGAGAAGGATAGGGCGAGGGAGAGGGAGAGAGGAGATCGAGAAAGGGAGAAGGAGAGGGAGCGGGAGAGAAGGGAGAAGAGAAAGAAGAGCAAGATGGCGAGTAGCGGCCAGGTGAGGGCATCGCACATTCTGATAAAGCACCAAGGGTCTCGCAGGAAAGCCTCATGGAAGGATCCGGAAGGCAGAGTAATCATGAATACCACTCGTGATTCCGCCGTCTCTCAGCTCAAGGCCCTCCGCGAGGACATCGTTTCTGGAAAAGTTAAGTTTGAGGACCTCGCGTCCCGATTCTCTGACTGCAGCTCTGCCAAGCGCGGCGGAGATCTCGGTATATCCCTTCCCACTTTCTCCTGCTCTTTTCTATTTCTGTTGCTTTGATTTATCAAAAAGCTAAAGTGTTCGAGCTAATCGAGTAGTTGTTCTTGATTTGTTGAGTGGTGAATTTCTTTTAAATGAGACTTGGAATAACAAAGGTTTCTAGATACTGAGCTCTGATTTTTGATGATTTTCCCCTATTTTCTCTATAACAAACAAAATGCACTGGTAGGTAGTTCTTGATCATTATATTCGATATATACAAGTATCCTCCTCTGCCGTACTCCGTAGCAGACTCCTGATGTTCAGTTGCGGTTTGTAAATTGTAGTATTATCTTCGAGGGCTCTAAAATGAATTTTGCTATACTTATTTCAAAAAGAAAATGAATATTGCTGTACTTATCATGTTATTTGCGCTTGAAAAAGTGAATTGAGGCTGTTATTGAATAGTAAAATGCCTTAATGTGCTGTTTTCCTTGAACTGAAGTGCTTTTTGTTGCATTGAGTATATATTAAACGCAGGAACCCCCTCTAGATGTTATTTCAGTGTTGCTATGACGAGCTTACCTCTTACATAATCATCTAAAATTAGAAAGGTTTATCAGTTCCCCCAGAAATTTAGACTAACTTGATTCGAATGCAAATGGTGGTCAAATGTGCTGAGTTGATCTATTGGTGCTAAGGAGAGAGGATTTACTGGGCGTTCGTTTAGGTTCACTGTGTAGTTTTGTCTAGCCTATTGGTGCTATGGAGAGAGGATACAGTTTGTTTCCCGACATTATTATATTGTGTTGACATTAGTTCCTCGAGAAGTCAAGAGTCGAGATTATTATGCTGATTAGTCAACAGTCAAGATGTAGGATTGAGGTTTTTATTCTTATTTTTTCCGAATAAAGGAGGGACAAGTGTTACTAAATGTTACTATACTCTTCCCATATTGGATTATTGAATGTTCATTTTGAGTTCTAGCTGCTGATCTTCAGAGCAAGCCTCTGGAACTGGCCTTATAACTAAGGATAGACACTGCATTTATGCCTAAACATCTTGCTTGTTTGCGATCTAGCATGATGTCAGCTCTGTGTTGCTGCGTGTTGTCCTGTTATTCCGGGGGCTGACCTTTATTGGTTTGTTGACATGCTGTTTCTCGACTTTCGAACATTTTTAGAGATCCTAATCTCTGCTACTTAGAAGAGAATCTGATTGATTGGACACTTTTTCACTGTTTAGCAATTTTGTTCAAATCATTGCACACAACTATAGTGTCCAAATTTGCACATAAATTGCCAGAGTTGTCATAACTGAATCCATTTCTGTATCATAATGACTAATGTTGCTGGAATCTTGTCTAATGTTATTTCTTTTCCAATAACGTTATGTCTGGAGCAATTTCATAAATTCTTTATTGAACTCATTTAGAAATTTACACGCCTTAAATTATGAGAAGCGAAATTTTTATTGGAAAATAATAATAATTAAGTTCATAGATGGTTGCAACTCGAATTAGAATAATGCAGTCTAAATTTATCCACTTGAAATTTTCTAGAACTCAATTTTTATCATTTTTTCTTAGAAAAAATAAAATAAGACTAGGTTTTAATTTCCAAATGAATTCAAGATAATAAAATAATATGATTGATTAACATAACCATAATTTGTTTCAAACATACATAACCTAAGTGACAAAAAAGATTAAAGCTTCTGGTTCTTTTCAATTGTTGTCCTACCCAAATCATTTTTCCTTACCTTTGCACGTAATTAGCATACATGCCAAATTGAAGCACACTCCCACATGCTGGTTTCAATAACAGTCCATATAAATTTGCTGCAGGTCCTTTTGGCCGAGGGCAGATGCAGAAACCCTTTGAGGAAGCAACCTTTGGTCTCAAGGTTGGTGAGGTAAGCGACATTGTGGATACAGATAGCGGTGTTCACATCATCTTGAGAACTGGCTGACTTAACATCAACCAAATTAATTCCACATGCTCAGCAAATACGATCCAAGGAAATTCTCGGATTGTTCTTTCCTATTTTTTGGCAAAGTATAATTGCAATATGACCATCTTATGATAATCTCTGCCTAGAGCTATTCTTATATGTGGTATCTCAATGGTGCAGATGTGTACCTTGGATTATGCTTTTCGATTGGATTTTTAGACTTTTGATTTCGGTGACTGGGTGACTGCAGAATTTTAGGCTCTGATTTATTTCTCTATTTGCTTTTGGTTTGATTTTTAGACACTCTTGGTTTGGTTTGCTTTTGCTTCTGGTTTGGATGGTGCTTTTGATATCTTCGTTTGTTTCAATGTTATGAAAATTTAGTTATTTTCATTTTTTGTAACAATTTTAGTTACCAAGTTTTTAATTATCAAATTAGGGAATAAATTACTAAACTTAATTTACTTAAAATTTAGAACCCCCCTGGATCCTCCAGATTTTGTCCATGACGTTTTTATCTTCGTACATACCAACAGCTATTTGATCTGCAAAGATGGCAAGGTTCTTTCATTATAGAATGTCAAATTCTTACCAAAGATTCTTAATTCATGTTATATCCGTTTTGACGTTTCTATCATATTTTAAACCCACTTTTATGAATTATTACCAAATGCACTAACAGAATCTTTTCTGATAAATACTTTTTAATTTTAGACCAAGTTCCTCTCTCTTGAGACCACATAAAACCAACTTGGAAGGGAAACAAGGTGAACGAAATAGATTGTTTATCGGTTTAGAACTGAATCGGAATAGAATCAAATGAGAAGAATTTTTTGAGTTGAAGACTCAACCAAATCTTAAGTTATTCTTGGATTTTTAAGTGAATAAGAAACAACAATATTTATTGCACCGAATGTCTTATCTAAAAAAAAAAGATTATTATTGCATGATTGTCTAAAAAATAACAGTTTCGACAAACTGGTTCTCGATACGGACACTAGAAAACCAAAAAATCGGTCCACTTTTATCCGTTATCATTCCAAGTGAAAGTAAGACTAATATAAATTAAAAAGAATAGTCTGATACAGTTGGATTCTGAACCAATAGCCACCAAAATAAATAATATGGTCTAAACCAGATAAGTCAGCAACTAGACTAAGTTAGGGTTCGGCCCACGCAATCTACAGGCTTCACCGAGAGAAGGGTCATTTGTATTATATTCTTTGGGCTTTTGGCAGCCCTAAAATTTTGGTTGTCCCCTGGACAACATCACATTCATTTGCAGCCGTGACCGCTTGCTCTTTAACAACCCAGCAACTGGGTGCCACCTCTAAACAGCGTGGGCCCATTGATTTGATTATTCATAAAATTACCATGGGAGCGATTCGGCTGAAACACTAATTACAGAGAAGGCCATCATAGAGAGATCTTGTGTAGAAAATGGAATTTTCTTGCTTAAACAGCCATAAAATTACATAATTACTTAATAAGGAACCAATCACATCGCACCGCAATTTTGGTATCAAGGATACAATCGTCATTTTAAATGGACCAAATTGGTCAGTGATTGGGCTTTCCTCCATTGACCGAATTGACCTCCATATCTGAGACCTGAGCTGGTATTCACAGTATAAAAACCAGCTGGGAACAGATCAAGAGAAAACCGCGTCTCTTTCTTTTCTCAATCAGCTCTTAAATTTTTTCCAAACTCCACCGTCAAACCACCCGCACTCTTAACTTTCTCTTACTCGCATTTTCAATCAAACCCCACGGATCAAACGGATCAAACCCGAAATGGCATCCGAGAACGACACCCCCAAATCCGGATCCGCCAACGGTGACGCTGCTACTAGTCCCGCGGCCACGCAGCCACACAAGGTGGCGCTGATTACCGGCATTACCGGTCAAGACGGTTCATACCTGACGGAATTCCTCCTCAACAAAGGGTACGAGGTTCACGGTCTGATCCGTCGCTCCTCCAACTTCAATACGCAGCGTATCAATCACATCTACATCGACCCCCACAACGCCCACAAGGCTCGCATGAAGCTCCACTATGCCGACCTCACTGACGCTTCCTCTCTCCGCCGCTGGCTCGATACGATCCGCCCCGACGAGGTCTACAACCTAGCAGCGCAATCGCACGTCGCTGTTTCATTCGAGATCCCTGATTACACCGCCGATGTTGTCGCCACTGGGGCCCTTCGACTATTAGAAGCGGTCCGATCTCACATCTCCGCCACCGGGCGCGCTCACATCAAATATTACCAGGCTGGATCTTCTGAAATGTTTGGATCCACTCCACCTCCGCAGTCTGAAACCTCGCCTTTCCACCCTAGATCCCCCTATGCAGCCTCGAAATGCGCTGCGCATTGGTACACCGTCAATTACCGGGAGGCTTACGGGCTATTCGCATGCAATGGGATCCTCTTCAACCACGAATCGCCGCGTCGCGGAGAGAACTTCGTGACCCGGAAGATCACGCGAGCTGTGGGGCGCATCAAGGTGGGTCTGCAGAGCAAGCTGTTTCTGGGGAATCTACAGGCGTCGAGGGACTGGGGTTTCGCTGGGGACTATGTCGAAGCGATGTGGATGATGCTGCAGCAGGAGAAGCCGGACGATTACGTGGTGGCGACGGAGGAGTCGCACACGGTGGAGGAGTTCTTGGAGGTTGCCTTCGGGTACGTGGGGTTGAATTGGAGAGATCATGTGGTTATCGACAAGAGATATTTCAGGCCTGCGGAGGTGGACAACTTGAAGGGCGACTCAAGCAAGGCGAGGAAGGTGCTTGGATGGAAGCCTAAGGTGGGTTTTGAACAGTTAGTGAAGATGATGGTTGATGAAGACATCGAATTGGCTAACAGGGAGAAGGTGCTTGTGGATGCTGGCTACATGGATGCCCAGCAGCAGCCATAATGGGGCCTTTCCTGGTTATCGATATCATTATTTGATGCTTCATAGAGAGAGTATAGTTTGATTTCCAGAGGAGAGTACTTATTTGATGTTCTAATTCCAGTGTTTTTCCTTAAGCTGTTCGATTTTAT